ATTATCAACTTTTATTTGTTAGTATCTAATAATTTAATAATTATCAACAATTGGTTAGTATTTAATAATTTGATTATCGACGTTCTATTTATATTTTTCAGTTAAATTAACTGAAAAATATAAATAGAACGGTTGATAATTAAATTATTAAATACTAACAAGTCAAACATTGATAGTTATTAAATTATTAAATATTAATTAATAAAAGTTGATAATTAAAGGACCCATTTGCCATTCCTACAACAATGTAACTCACCTTAGGGGTGGATTTGAGTTGAGACGAGTTGAATAACTAGCATCTCTCAAGATTCTAACTCGATTCGTCAAGGCATTATGAGGCTCGAGCAAGAATCTTGAACTTGAGTTCGGCTTGATTCAAAGGCTCGTAAGGTTGAACTTGGTTCTAGGGGTGTAAACAGAGCGAATTCGAATCGAATCATGCTCGGTTTGAATTCGAAACCGATTAAATAGATGATTATTCGAATTCGATTTGATATCCGACGATTTCTTAAAGCAAGACATCGAATTCAAATTTGTCTAAATAATCAAATATTCAAATTCGATTCGAAATCAAAATATATTTTTAACACCAACCTCTTTCACCAGGGGAAGAAGAAGAAACCCGGTTTGAAGTTTTTTCTTTTCATTCCCTGTCGATTTAATATTTAAAAAACAAAGAAAATAAATAAATTAAAACTTTTTCTGAATCATAGCCATCTATCGTTGCAACAAGCGTCGCTATTAGTGTTGTCTGCAACGGAGAGATTGTCCACTATGTTTTTGTGCTCTACAACATCAAAAGGGAAAGAGAGCAAGAGATAGGGAGAGAGGAAGAGAGAGAAAGCGACCAAGGAACAAAGAATAAAAAACACTTGTATATATAAAAAAAAAAAGAATGTAGAAATGAAGATTAACTTAAAACTTACAAGTTGTAGACGAAAGCAAAAGAAATTGGGAAGAAGAAATGTTGAGAGTTCAATTGAGGAAGAAGAAAGATGAATAATAAATGAAAAGTACAAAATAATTAGGGAAATGAAAGCCTTTTGATAAAAAATATTAAAATAAAGTAAATTTTTTAAACTACCTTTATGGTTTAGTTAATTGACTAAGTGTACTCCTACTGTTTAAAAATTGACTGGCATTACCCTACTGACAATTGAATAGCTCTATCCTTACATCCGTTAAATGTGACATTTTTTTCTTAAAACCCAATTTTACCCTTACTATCTTCTACCTTTCAACAGAAAACCAAATTGCTTCGGTCCCTCCATTGCACTAACCCCCTCCACCTTGGGCTCCTCTCTCACACACTCTCCAAATCAGGGCCAAAATAGGATGCCCCAATGTCTGAAAAGGGGGAAGCTTCCGGGGATCTACCGGCACCAAAGGTTCCAACTAACAAAATTTGACGCCTCGTTCTCCAAACCAGCACGGCTCCATGGATTCAGTCCATGAGGATGCTATTGACCCAATGTCTAACAAAATCCCATTGTCACTCCTGTTAAAATTTGTCAAAATCCCATTTTCCCTTTATCGTTCCGTCATCTCAAAATCTTACATGAGCACGAGAAATCAGGCACAAGTCATTTTCTGTGATGAGCAGTCCATGAGGATGCTATTGAAGAGATGAACGGGCAGATTCTCGACGGCAGACACATCACCGCTCCTCATCAGAAATCTTCTTTTCCCGTTCGAAGAGTAACTCCAACACTCATCGGAAATCTTCTTCTCCCGTTTCTTACCTTCGTCTTCCTCTTCCGACGAGCACAGGGAGGTCTTGCAATGAACACGAGGCACTGGCCGACATGTGAACTCTTGTGCCTTCGTCTTCCATCCAGAGAAGAACAGAGGAGGAAACGAAGACCTTGGTGGTCCGATACTCTTCCATCCAGAGAAGAACAAAGGAGGAAACGAAGACCTCGGTGGTCTGATGGAATTCTTCCTTTCCAGCTCCTCACCTTTGCCTTCCTCTTCCAACGAGCATAGGTAGGTCCAGCGGCCTTGATGGTCCGCTGAAGTTCAGTGGGTTATTTCAGTAGGCCCCGGAGACGGGTGACTTTTGCTGATGTCACCAGTGCTGTCCTTGAAAAATCAGAATAACTCAGATCTGATCTAGGAACCCAGATCTCACTATCTCTCAGATTCTAAGATCTACAAGGAACCTAGATCTCTCAAGGAACTCAGATCTGAGATTTGAGAGATATTCAGATATGAGATCTGCTCACCATCCATCGTTCCGGCAGTTTCAACAGTTCTGTTAGTTCCAGCGAAGAAAACGAGAATGAAAGGGAATAATCTAGGGTAAAATAGTCTTTTTGACATCTCCATTAATGCACGTTGATGATTAAGAAGAATTAGTTCATTTTCAAAAATTTCAGTTTTTCATTATTAAAATATAACAAGTATTAAAATGTTACTTTATTTGACCAAAAAATAGTCATAGCGTCTCTTTCTTCATTTAATTCTTTATTATTAAAATAATATTATAAAAGAAAATTTCAAAAGTCATTATTAATTGTACATTTGTACTCCAACAAAATAACATATTAATATATTTATTTAATATAAATATAACTGGATCACTAATATCGATATATACGTAGAATATATTATCGAATTGAATATTTATCGAATAAGATCAACTTCTATTTGAATTTGATTCGATTAATTAAATGGTAAAAACATTTTATTCGAATTCGACCGCCAATGACATTCGAATAATCTGAATTTGATTCGATTATGTCGAATCTCGAATTCGAATTCAAATCGATTATGTTGAATCTCGAATTTGAATTCGAATTTTCGAATACCATTTACACCCCTACTCGGCTTGACTTGAGAAAAATGTTTTATAAAAATAAAAAAAATGTATGTATAAAAATATTTTTTATTTGATATTTAAAAAGTTAAGAATTTTAATAATTAATTATTATATTTAAAAATTTATTTTTATTATATATATTATTTTTTATAATTTTCTATTATATATATGTAGCTATTCGAGCTCGGCTCACGAGCCTCACGAGCCAAGCTTTATTTGAATCGAGCTCGGCTCGAAACTCGATTGAAATCGAGTCGAGCTCGAATAGCTCGACTTGTGGTACTCACTGCTTAAGCTTCAAGATGGGTATCACATCACAGGTTACCACTTGCCACTATTCAAGACAATTGAAGAAGAAAAGATAAGAGCGACTAGATTTGGAGGTTGGAGTATTGTGGATCAAATATGAGGGACAATTTGGTAGGTGTTTGGCATCGGTGCTGGGAACACAACACCATTTTCTCACAAAAATAGTGTTGAGCATGTCTGAGTTGTAAGCCATGTTTTCTCAGAAAATGATGCTTATTTTTTCCGGAAGCGGTGTTGTCATATAGGTTGTTTTCTGAGAAAACAACACTAGTTTTGATTGGTATCAGTGTTGTAGAACTGTTTTCAGCATTGGCCATATTATCCAATGTCCAAGATGATGCCATATTAATGCCACATCATTGCACCGCTAGCAGCAACTGGCTGTTTTTTGGGAAAACATTGAATTTGACATTTCTTCAGACCACACTTTCCCGATTTCCAAGGCGTGGTCTGAAACAACGTTTTTTTTTTGGAAAATCGATACCAAATAAGAAGTATTTTTCTGAAGCATCGCTTTTTTTGATGTAGCGCCTACGTGGCACAATTTTATCAAAAAATGGCAATGATGCCAAACACTGCCTTGGAATTCAAAATTTGGAGAGAAAATAGATTTGTTGAATAGAATGGTTTGACAGGCTAGGTCAGGTCACTGACATTTTAAAAACGACAATCCATTAAATAAGGTGTTGCACTATTGCTTTGTGAAGTAGAGAGGGTATAAGTTTAGAACTTGGGCGGGCTTTGGTTATGGTTTTGTCAAAATTTGAATGAACCTGGCCCAAAGCCCAAGCTTGATCCTAGGGATTAAGGTTGCAATTTGGGTCGCATTGATGCTTGGGTTAGGGTTAGGGTTGAAATTCATGAACTTGACTTGACTTTAGGTTGGGGGTCAACCTAACCCAACCTGAATTCGACTCTACATATCATATATAAATATATGTTATATATATGATATATCATACATTGATTTGCTTAGATGCATGATAGTTCCCCCACAGATCTGCCCCTAAAAAGATATATCGTAAGCCATAATTCATAATAAACTATAGTCATTTCAAACACTTCTTTTTCTGAATTTTGTACTAAAAGAACCAATAAAAACATTAAGATTCAAATATTAATAAACATATTATTAATATATAGTGAAAGTTAAAATATGAGATTGAGAAGTTATATGAGATTATAAGGGATGGGAAGAACGTTGGGTTGGGCCTAACTTGAGGTTGACTTTGGCTTGGCTTGGGTTAGCATTGAAGGAATTTAGTTAGGATTAGAGTTAGGGTTGGGGGTTTAGAACTTAGGGTTGGCCTCAACCTGGCCTAACCTAACCTGACTTACAACCTTACTAGGGTTGCAAATGGATCGGATCATATTCAAATTAGGGATATATCTTAATCCAATATGATAATACAAATAGTAGATCCAATCTGATTGGATCTCACATGCATCAATTAGAATTTGAATCCGTTAAAGATGTTGGATATCTAATAAATTATTAAAAGGAAAAAAATATAATAATTTATTCTCAAAAAAATAAAAAATACAAGTATTTTTTCAACTATTTTCATTATATATACATGTTTTTTTTTTATAAAAACAAAAAATATAAAAATGACAAAAAGTGCGATGTAAAGTGAGTTCAAATATCTGCCCCACAAGGGGCCACCCCACAATGTCCCATAGCACATCCCCGCCTTGCATTGGGAACATCTCCCAATGATAGTACATCATCATCGGGAGATGTTCTCGATACACGATGGGGATGTGCTGTGGTACGTTATGGGGCGGAAATGCCCTCTCATGTAAAGTATAAACATGTCCTGGATTATATATATAAACCCTTGACTCTTGTCTTTTGTGAAATTTAATTTCAAGACGTCAAAAAGAGAGAAGAAATCAAGAAACTGAAACGCAAGTAACCAATGCACTTGCAAATTGCAATCTAATTCACTCAGGAAAAAAAATCATCTAATCCAGGCCGGCGACACCGAATAGTTTTGTATCTGCTTTGGCAAAGTCTGTACAATCGAGGTGAGAGACTGTGGCCACCAGATTTGAGCGCATTGCATGATTTACACCGCATGTTTGCCTGCCCCAATCTGCCTGTTTTGCCGCAGCAGCATTGCCAAGCTAATGGTTTCCAAGGGTAAAACGGAGAGAAAGTCGGACAGGGAGATCAACTCTTCAAAGATGAGGAGGTTGGGGAGATCAAACTTCAATGATGGCAGCAGCAGCTTCTAGGGTTTGTCAGCTGCTGGTTCATTTTCGAAGATGGGTGGCTGTGGTTCAGGGAGGATTGTTGCTGATAGCAACGTTTGGAACGCTATCAGCTCTAGCACTCAGTATAGGGAGGATTACTTCTCGAAGGAATACAGAGAGGATGGAAGACCAATCCTCTTAGCTCTCAGATGGTGAGAACGATCGCCGATGGAGCAAATGACAGACTGGGAGATGTACGGGGTCACCTGTAGAGAAGTGGGAGGGTAAAATGGCAGACTGGGAGAGAGAGAAAGGGAGAGAGGGGAGGAGGAGAAAGAAGCAAGGGGGTAAGAAAGAGGTGGCATGGCAATTTTCTATTGGAGGGGTGATTGAATGAATCCTATCGGATAAGGGGTGGTTCAATGAATCCGGATCAGCTCCTCAATCCTCATATAGAGCACGGTGCGAAGAGCGCTCTATGCCTTTGTGTAGGTCCACGAAACCGAAAAATACATCTCGTGGTCATGGTGTAACATCATCATAACCAACAAGCGGACGACCCCAAATAAGGTGCCAAGTTGCCATTTGCCAATATGCCACAAAACCCTTTCCTAAAAACGTAAAACTTTCATAGTTTCATTTTTATCCAAACAATACAGTCCCTCCCTCTCCTCTTTATCTTTTTTTACAACACCCACACCACCACAACCTGAGAGGCTGGGGATAGAGGCATAGAGCTGCAGAACTCCTGCTTTTTCATTGCGTATCAGATCGATCAAATTAGTTTGCAGAATAAGAAGACAACAATGGAAGTGACAAACAGATACATAACGATAAAGCATCCCATTGAGCGTGCGCCCAAGGAATTAGACTTCGAACTCACAACTGCAATCCTCCCTCTAGTGGTGGAGAAGGGTTCGAACGATGCTATAGTAAGAAATCTTTATGTATCCGTCGACCCTTATCAGCTAAACCGAATGAAGAAACACAGTTCCTCCCACAAGTCCATCAACTATGCGACGGGCATTTCTCCTGGCCAGGTGAGTCGCCGCCCCGGCCACCCTTCTTCTATTATCTGTACTGTATTCATCAATCAACCAGTTGCTGAGTCTGTTCTGTTCTGGTTTGACTGGTTGTGGATAAGCATGCAGGCGATTGATGCTTATGGTGTTGGGAGAGTTGTTGCCTCCGCAAACCCTGATCTCGAAAAAGATGAATTAGTTGCAGGGCTTATAGGGTGGGAGGAGTACAGCGTGGTTCGAAGCGGTTCCATGTTAAGCAAGTTGGATCACCTGAAATTTCCACTATCTTATCACGTCGGAATTTTAGGTAAGTTGACAGTTAACACACTTAAAAAAAAGATTTCTGAGGGGAATTGCAGTCTAAAAATCCCTAAAAAATAGATTATCTAATATAATAATTTTTGGGATAATGTGAAACTTGATCAAATGTCCATTTTCATTATTTAACTTTTGATGATCCAATACCCAAAAAAACTTGGGAAAAGTACAGAGACAGAATTCTGAATTCCAGCCCCCTTACAACTAGTTCTGTTCCCCCTATAAATCACATCCTTCCCGTAAATTTGGCATCAATTCACGGTCAGATGCATTGCCCCTGTACTTTAGGCTTAGTAAATTCTGAGCTGGGCTGATTTGTACTTCTCCCAAAAAATTTTTGATAATGGATGTCGAATACAAAAATAGCATAGATTCTAACCAGAAACAAAAATACATCAGAGTTCATAAAGTCTTGAAGCCAAACAAACTGCACTTAAAATATACTTCACCTACTGAAATTGGAGCACTAACAATATACTTCACCTACTGAAATTGGAGCACTAACAAATTTGTGATCATCAATCTGCATAAGCAAACTAAAGAGACATAGAAACTTACTGGTAATAAGAGAAAATAAAACAGGGAAAACAACTTTACCTAAAATATACTTCGAAAATAACTCTAAAATGGTCACAGAAATTGTAAGAAAAATGGGACACAAAAGTTGAGAGAGAAGAAAAAAAGCAAAAAGAGCCAGAGATTTTGCATGTGGCATGGCATGATGCGGTGGTCTGAGGGCATCCTCTCTAGTAAAGTTCCTTACCTAGTTCTTGTGGGACTCAAGTCACTCATCAACAAGCCAAGAAAAGATAAGTAAAGAGAACATCTTCATCACCTAAAATACATTGCATTTTGTGAACATGGTGTATTTTCATAGACAAAAGTACTCTGTATTTTGCTGAAACAAAGATTTTGAGGGAAAAACACAGTATACCTGATAGAAAAATGAAGTGTTCCACATGTAATCTATGCAAATCACACAACAACATTAAACACGGACAAGGATTCTTCTCTTTCACCTTTGACAATGACTACTACCAAAAAATTTCTATAGAAATGATTTGAGCACCAAGTATTTAATGATGGATATGACACCGATCAGAACAGAATGGTAAAATAGGATTCATGTAACTGTTTCATATAGTTGGGACAAAGCTTAAATGATGATTCATTGATTCTTCTAATAGATTTGATGTAGCAGGGTAAAGAGCATCCCGTCTTACTTGATGTTCCCCTATTGTTTCGTGGTGCAGGGTTTAGTGGGCTTACCGCCTATGGTGGCTTCTACAATGTATGTAAACCCAAGAAAGGGGAGAAAGTGTTTGTATCAGCTGCTTCCGGGTCAGTTGGAAATATTGTTGGACAGTATGCCAAGCTGTTCGGTTGTTACGTAGTTGGCTGTGCTGGAAGCAAGCAAAAGGTCATCTAAGTTACATTGGTTTATTCTTGTTTTAGCCTCTATTTGTGAGTAGGGGTGTTCATAGTCTGGTTTGGTGCAGTTTTGAGAAGATCTCAAACCAATTACGGCTTGAGAAATTTAGAAACCAAATCAAACCATCTTGGCATGAAAACTAAATTACACCAAACCGTTTTATTATATAGTTTGGTGTGGTTTTTAATGCGGTTTGGGGATTTTGGGTCAGTATATGATTTTATTGCCCTTAACCCAATTAGAAAGTCCAAATAATAACCCTAAAAGTTAAAAATTAAAACTTTTACTTTATTATTTTATTATAGAATGAAAGAACTTATTATATATAATTTTATTTCAGTTTACAGTTTATGATTTGATATGGTTTATAAAATCCAATAAACTAAACCAAAACCGTAAATCACAATTTAATAAAATGGCAAACTGAACCAAACAATTCTTATATCCAAGTGTTTATTTTAGGCCAAGGTCACATCAATAAGTGCATTTAGGAAATAAGCCCAAATAAATGCTTTTTCAAGAAATAAGTCCATTTTGAATAAACTCAAAATTTTGGTTTCTTTTATAAACACTTTTTTCAAAAAGTGATTATTGCATTTCTGGTTCATCTTGACCCGTCACGTAATTTTCAAAATACCTATACTTCCCTTATTTGAAAGCACTTTTTCACCAAATACTCACAAGCGCTTTATTTATTCACTAAGCATCCCCAAACGAGAATTCTAGACCATGTAAACTTCTACCTCTTGAGACCTTATTTTAGTGGTTTATTAACAGTTTCATATTAACGAGTTTGCAGGTAGATCTGCTTAGAAACAAACTAGGTTTTGATGATGCATTCAACTATAAGGACCTAGAATCCAAACTAAGCCTAAGGTTTTGTTTTGCTGCTTTTACCCAAACAAAGGCTATAAGTCCAACTATGTAAATCTCTATGTATATTTTTGAGTTCCGCTTTGTATTTTCTCTTTTCTCTATGTTTTGCCAATTGGTTTCAGATCTTGGGTAACATAAAGGTTTACTATTTTGGACATCAAATTGACATATACTCCAGATTTTGAAAATGCAAGGTTTAATTAGTCTAATGGTTATTCTAAAAGTCTCCTTGTTGTAAATATCTTCCCCTTTGGTTGCAGTCATTGGCAACCCAAGTGAACTAGCTAAGCATTGTAATGGTCAATCAGTACATTAACATTTGTATGCAACCATGTTGATGCCACATTTTGGAGGTATTAGACGCTACACAGCATTACAATTTACAAATCAAAATGTTGAACCCCTTGGACATTGCGGCAAACCATTGAGATCTTTGTTCTTATGTGTGAAGCATGACTGTTCAACATACTAAAAGAAGGTACTTGGAGCATGGTATAAATGGAACGTCTTTGACCACCAGTTCCCAAGTCAAATGGTCCAAACCCTAGTCAGACGGAGTATTGGACTCTAAAACCAAACCTAGAGCCATGACTGTTTCCTGGGTCAGGCGGCCGATCATCCAGTCCGGTCCGTTTTTCAAAACCATGATTCAGAGATTTAGAGAACATATAGTTTGCCTATATTGATATCTTCTAGTCTTGTGATCATGAGATGTTCACTTAGGGTTATTATGGGTGGTGAGACATGGCGCAACTGCTTTTTAGTGTTGAAGCAAAGAAGGGGCACACAGCGGGGTGTCTCATTGATTTGAGGGTACACCTGGTGTTACATCTTATTGGTGACCGGATTTCCCAGAGGTTGAGTTGGGCTGGGGGGTCTGCCTCTTCATGTATTATTGGTCGATACTTTGAAAAAAGTGTATGACACAACTTGGTCACCAAGGATAGTCGTATCTGAGCTGATTGTAGAGAGTAGAGAGTCTGGTCTGATCATCTGCAAGTGCAACTTTTGGTGGATGAAAGCAATTACAGAAACGAATATTGTTGGTACTTGGTAGGCCAATGAAGGGCCTGTCACAATGGCAGACTTCTAACCTTGGGTCAAATGGTATCTGCAAAAGGAAATGATAGCTCGTTAAACACTTTGAATGGGAAATAAACATCAAGTCATGGAAAGCCATGACATGAGCTGCTAGATTCCATGAAAGCACAGTGGCCTGATGTGAGGAATATTATGGAATATAAAACACCTACAACGTTAACGGAATTCTTAGATCCATGTAAATTGTGTGTAGTTTTCCAAAAGGACTCGTTATAGAAAATTTGAATTGCTAGTTTCCTACTCAGTTAACAAGATGGATTGCAGTGTGAAGAGAATCAAATCAGAGCCTTTGGGAAATGGGAATTAAGGAATTCGTTAGTAGTATGAGCTTAAGATGTGGTGATGCCTTTTAGTAGAGCCATTATCTCACTGCATGTATGGGTAGGACAAACGGTGTGAGATTCCGTTGGCGGCAAAGAAACTATTGATCAATTTTTGAAACTCTCCACCTCTGTAAGTTTGAAAGAACTTGATTTTTGTATTGAAAATGTATTCAACCCTGAGATTTTGAGTTTAATAGACATCCAGAATGTTGAGTAGGACGTGAGATTTGGGGCAAGGTCAATCTTTAACTTTTATGTTATTATTCATAATTAGGGATAAATTTGACCTTTTAGTTGTATTGTATTACATTAGTATTTAATCTAATGAAATGGGGTGGACCATCTCACAGTTGACTCCTCGGCTCCTCTCCCCAACTTCTATTCTCTACTTCTTTATGGGAAAATTCCTTATCAGTATTCTGTACTTTGCCTCGAGTGACAATTTGGTCCCTGAACTTTAAATGCGATAATTCAGTACCTAAACTTTCAAAATGTGACAATCCAGTACCTGAACTTTCAAAATGTGGCAATCTAGTACCTGTCGTTAACCAGTCCGTTAATCAGCTGTTAAGTGACATTTGAAAAGTTAAAAATGCCTTAAGAATGCCATCTAATTCTCTTTATTAACCATCCAAACATTGACAATAAAATAAACAGTCCCAAATTTTAGATTCTTCTAAACAGTCACCAACTTTTTTGAATAGAAGAAGCTAGGATTTGAGACTGTTCAGTTTTTTGTCAATGTTTGAATGGTTGATAAAGAGAATTAGATGAAATTTGAAGGGCATTTTTGACTTTTCAAATGTCACTTAATAGTTGATTAATGGACTGGTTAACGGCAGGTACGGGATTGTCACATTTTGAAAGTTTGGATACTGGATTGTCACATTTTAAAGTTTGGTGACCAAATTCTCACTCGAGCCAAAGTACAAAGTACTGATCGAGAATTTTTCCTTTCTTTATTCTCCTTTTCATTTTTCTTCTTCTTCTTCTTCTTCTTCTTCACATTTTTTCTCGAATTTCTAAATCTGATCACATTCTTCAACAATCTACTAGGTATCAGAGCAAGGTTGAAGATCTTCAAGGCCTGACACAGAACATCTAATTTTGCAAGGATATGGAATAAATCCTAATCCTACTCAGATCTTAAGATGCAGGGAAAAGTCATAGTTGAGTCACCTCTTGAGTGTACTGCCTACCTGTGCATGCGCTCCTTGAAGCTCTTGCACAAGGAATATAGTTCCACTCCATGTGAGTATATAGTTTTGGCTCAGATCCAAATTTGGACATAATTTTAGTCAAAATATGTTAGATTAAATCAAAACAGTCAATTTTTTTGAAGGGTTTTGGGACAAGGATGTCCTAACCATTGGCCATGATTAGTGGTGGTAATTGGGCGGGATGGATTGGGTTTGGTTTGGGTTGAGTTTCAACCCAACCCAACCCATTTAACCTGCCAACCCGTTAATGACCCAGTTATATAAAATTAAATGGGTTGGTTCAACCCAAACCCGCTTTAACCCAATCCAACCTGCTCAAACCCATTAATCTTATATTTGTGTACTTAAAACGAAAAACCAACTCCTTTTTAACAAATAAGTTAGTCATAGCTTAGTGGTAATAGTAGTTGCTATTTACATAAGTGGTGAAGGTTTAAATCACATTACATGCATGTTATTTTTATACAAGCAGCAAAGCCATTTAATTATGTTCGGGTTTCGGATTTGACAAACCACATAGGTTCAAACTGGTAAGACCAACTTGAACTATCCAATTGGATTGTTTTCGAGGTAATCACATCAAGTTCAAGAGTGGTTGAACTGTTTAGATCCGAATCAATCCGGTCAGACTAGACCCCGCCCAAACCGGTTCAGTCTGGTCAGACAAAACCCAATCAGATCGGATTCAGTTCGGTCAGACTAGACCCCGACCGAACCGGACCGGTTCAGTCAATGGTGGATTGACTTGGGTCGGCTCATATTAGGTTTGTGCACAGGTTTGGGGCCAAACCGATTGGCCCAAAGCGGGTCAAAAGAAGTAAATCGAACCGGGCCGGATTCAGGTCAGGTTGTACGAATACAAACCAAACTGGACGATCCAAATTGGGCAAAGAAAGTGGGTGGTTTAGGGTTCGGACCCCACATGGTCCGACCCGTTTTGGATTCAGGTCGGCTCGGATCAGCTTGCACCGGGTTGAGCCGGGCTGTGTGAACAATGGTTGGACCCGACGACCCAAACTGGGCAAAGCAAGCAGTCTTGAGCCATCTCGTCCGAGGCCTATTTCGGATTTGGGTCAATTTGGATTGGTATATGTTGGATCGGGTCAGCCCACGTTGAACTGGTTTGGACTTGGGTTAAATTGATTTGAATTTATGTTGGGTGAAGTGTGTTGATTCAATACAAAACAACCCGCCAATTAAATGGGTGGGTTCAGCAGGTTGGGTGAAAAATTGCCACCCCTAGCCATGATGACATCTAAAGTCTAATGAATGTAAATGGAAGGTAATTACTTAATCTCTCTGAAAGAGTATTTTTACGTGGAATGCTAGCTGCTGATGCAACATCTATCACCATCTTCACTGTTACGTAAGGAGGATTGATGAAGATGGCTCTAAATTATTTGAACAAACAGGTTACTGTCTATAGGGCTTAACCTCAGTCTGAGTATAAAATTGTGTATAATTGAGCGTTTTTCTTGAATGGAGAGCACCACTGGATGCCTGTGGAATTTCAGAAATGTTCAAAAATTAGGAACATAATCCCAAAATTTGAGAATATATGATTATGGTACTTGTGTGTAACATCTACGGAGAAGCTTGTTGAAGAGTGGAAAGCAAAAAGAATGTAAATTCCAATAGAGGTTGACAATGTGGCTGATAAGTTCATTGCAGATGTTTTATGCCATCTGCAAGAAAGAGATTTATGAGATACTTCAATCTTTGTTTAAGGTCGTTAATTTGGGTGGATTCGGAAAACATGCCTCTTGTTGAAAAGTACCATTCATTCCCATATTTATAGGACAGAGGAGCACACATGGTGTCTGTTTCAGAATGCAACTCTCACATGTTTGAATATATCTTTAATTTAAATAATTAATGAAATAGGAGAACTAAAATCAATACTGATACAGGGAAGCACAGCTTTTCTTGAAGGGAATCCCATAATATAAATATTTAAATTAGGAACACTAAGATAATGTAGTATAAACATTTAGATCAACTGATTTGATTCCAAGATTAATTCAGTTTTGTTCTAATGCATTTACAATAGGACAGACTCAGAGACTTTTAAGAAAAAGGAACTTCTACAACTTTACAATATACAAATATCATGATAAGTGGTTGTGACTGGAGTGTTCTATATTTCACATGAATCTGAGCGACCGAAGAATGCATAACGGTTATTTGCAACATTGTCATATGCAATATCCCGCAAGAACCTGCAAATATCCATTAACAAAAAATAAAAATAGAAGGATATGTTATAACAGATTCTGTGATTGTTCTAGAACAGTTTCCAATCTGCACTCTAAGCATTTATTAGAAGAATAAACTTGGAGATTGATAGATGGATAGGGGAAAGAAGTGACTTACAAGGGTACAAACTGTAAAAAGAATGCTAATTGTGGGAAAGGCAAGTCAATGTATTCCATGATCTTCAGTACTGCTTCTGATTTGATATATGACCTGCAACCATTAGACTCTTTAACATTTATCTTCTCAGCAACCTTTGTATAAAGTTTTGAAATACATTAATTTCATCCTTGAAAACTTTATAAGGCCTACACATTCCTGTCAACTTAAAACCAATAAACCATTATCCATAGAATATACCAAGACAATTCAATATTATAGTATAAAAAGATAAAACTTTCTACTGAAGGTACCTGTCCTTTTCAACCAGTACAACACTTGAAATATCATCGCGTGATCGTCCAGATCTCCTTAGCAATTTCCTTCCCGATTCACTCTGCAGAGCTTCAAACCTGATCCTCCTGTCAAATTTGGAAGATAGAAAGTGTAATGAGAAGAAAGATGAAATACATGGAATTAGTGAACGAATCTTCAAAAGACCATCCCTACTCCCAGTTGATCTGTAAAAATGCATTTTCATGTCAATTATCAATTGGGAGGCTTTATGTGTCGCAAAAACTTTGAAGGTCGGAGGTCTGAATTCATTTTGTTTTCCAAACAAGAAAAGACACCATATTATTTGTCTTACAAGGGCTGTTCAAACTTAAAACTTTATCAACTCAAATTGAAACTAGTGACACCACTCAAATGAGATGCAACGCACAAGAATGACTTGGTTGATAATAAAAGTTTGAGAAACCGACCTGTTTCGATCATTGTTACGAACAAATCTCACACCTCCATTACATAAGTTGCATACACCTAGTCAAAATAAATTCTGGATCAATTTTTCCAATTAAAGAGTACAAATATAGAAAAGTTGCATCTGAATGCTAAACATTCTTCGGATGAACCATGTCATTTGGCTTTCCTTGTTACTTGTTTATCAATGTTTAGCTAACTTCTAGAGGAGTCCAGACTGTGGATTTGGGTACAGATTCGTATATCATTAATTTGAGCGAACATTATCATGACCTAGAGTGGATTCGTTACAATATTTAATTAACAACCAGTAACAGCTCCAAATAAGACAAACATGATTAGATGATCATATTCCTGTGCTCATGCCCATCTAATATAGAGGAATAGGAATGAGGAATCATCTGAGCATGTTCCAGGTGGGTCACACGAATCCATGGCCAGAGGCTTGTGCCTGATAAAGGAATGGTGAGTTAAAATGAGCTTACCGTCGAACAGCATGATAGGCCTGGTGTCTTTTTCGAAGAAGTTAGAAGTCGCCTCCACCCAATCGACTGCATCCGCATCGCTGCGAGGAGGGGAAAGAGTGGCGGAAACAGAGACGGGGCGTATAACGTGCGCTGGTCGCGATAGGCGCAATCGTACGCCCCCACCAGGTACAAGGAGCGCCATGGAAATCCTCCGGCAGTCTGGCTTCTTCGGAGTTTGGATTCGCGCTTGTCGATGCGACGCAGCAGGAAAAATCACATCACAAAAGCACTTATTGTCTCTCTTCTTCAACGACGGTTAAGCAGGAACTACAGAGACGATTGCTCCAGGTGTCTAGACAGCCCAAAACACCCTTCAAGATGACCAAAAAGACTTTGCTCTATGCTTGCGAGCAATGGCATTTCCTTGTAATAATGGAAAAGGTGGAGGGCAGTAAACAGTTTTTCTCTCTGTGAGTGTGAAATGTTACTCCGCATCTTAATGATACGCGGCCGTCCGGGATCCATTGGTAAAAAATTTAGGGGTTTTTATGGTTCAATCCACGTCAGAAATCTGATTTTATGATGGAATCGTGCGGGTGTGTGAATCGTAAGATACACTTACCTTTAATCACTTTGGACCACAGATTAGTATTGTTCTCAATAAATCTCTATGCAAGCTTAGCTAACAGTGCAAGGTTAAAGGCATGAGGATCCGGAACCCCAAACCTCCTGCAAATTTGGCCTTACATGAGGTCTTCCAATTTATCCAAGAAACCTTCTTCTTTCGAGGAGTTTCCCCTCAAAAAAATTTCTTTGGTTCTTAGCTAGTTGGTTACAAATATCTTTAGGCAGCAGATAGAGCAAGACATGGAATACGTTGGGATTAAGGTTAAGACCGATTTGACCATAACCTCCTTCTTAGCCAGAAACCTCTCTGTACTGCCTCAAAGCCTCCATTATACTCCCTCCTTCAACTAAGTTGGCTTTAGAGAAGATGTACGAGTCATTTGCAAAAAAAAAAAAAAAGAGGTGAGTGATTGCAGGACAAACATTATTAATTTTGATTCCAAAGATGGTTCCTTCATTCTGCAGTTGAGTCAGGGCCAAAGATAAATGACTTCATAAACCAGGAGAAAGAGGTAGGGGGACAAGGGATTGCTTGAGCCCTCTAGTAGGATTTACTACTGAACTAGGGCTACCAATTACCAGGATCTGATATGACACAATTGTGATACATTGCGGGATCCAATTAATGAATACTTAATCAAACCCAAATATTTTTAAAACCCATTTGACACAATTCCATTCTACCCTCTCATACACCATATTCATATGTAGCTTAATTGCCATGTACCCCTGTTTTTGCCTAGTAGTCCTCATAAAATATTCTGATTTTGGCTAATGAGCTTTGGTAGTAAAAGCTTTAATCTGTTGACCAGGATTTTTGCAATGAATTTATACATGATGTTGCACAGACTGATGGCCTAAATTGGCTCGGGTTTTCAGGCTTCTTACATTTAAGAATTGGTGCAATGAAAGTCTTGTTGACTTTCTTAGATACACTTCTTGTTTGGAAAAACTCTCTTACGACACCTATCACTAATTTTCCAATTGTATCCCATAAATGTTGAAATAAGAAGTTTGGAAAGCCATTAAGTCCTAAGGCTTTTTGAGGGTGCATCAGAAATAAGGCTTTCTTCACTTCCTCTTCCTCAATGTCATTTCCTATGGTACAAGGGTGTAAACGAATCGAATTCGAATCAGATTAGGCAATATCTAAATTCGTATCTGATTAAAAAATTCGATATCCGATGGGTATTGAAAATTAATATTCGAATTCGACTAATTGATTATTTTAGGTAATTAATAAATATATAAAATAAATATTTTATTTATATAAAGTATATAAATATATAAACTATTTATATAATTTAATCATTATATATATAAATGATATAAAACATTTAAAAAATTTACATATTATATATAAGAATTAAATAATCGATTGAATTCGGATATTTATCGAATCGAATCAAATCATATCCAAATTTGATTCAATTATGTCGAATCTCAAATTCAAAATCGGATTTTCGAATATCATTGACACCCCTACATACTAAGGTACTGTTTTCCTCCTCTGAAACTATCATTGGAAGTCTGTCAAGAAGATTGTCAACTTCAGTTGGATTTGCTATTTTGTAGACCTCTTCAAAATGGGAAACTAACAGTTTAGCCATTTGGTCCTAGCCTTTAAGCCATCTCCCATTTTCATCTTTGAGGGAAATAATTATGTTCCTTGCTCTTCTACGAATGGTAGCTTGATGAAAATACCTTGTGTTTTTATCCCCAAGATTTAACCAGTTTTGTCTTGACTTTTGTGCCCACAAAATTCTTCCCTTTGAATTCTTTATCCAAGGAATCTTCTAATTCCATTAACCTTGAGATAGAAAAAGAACTTGCAGGTTTGTTTCTTTCCACAATCGAATCCATCTAACGAGCTTAATGTTGTCCTTAATCTTCCCTACCACTTGTCTATTCCATTTAACCAGTTACTACCACCCAACTTATCTTGAAAATCAAAAACCATATAGAAATCTCCTATAAAACCCATGGCCCATGAATTAGATCTTCACAATTCCTCCACAGGGTTAAAAATTCTTCCTTTTTACTCTTATTTGGTTCTCCATAGTTAAAGGAACAGAACCAAAGTTCCTCTTCTTTCTCCTGCACTGTGGTTAATATCATTCTCTCACACACAACTTTAACCGTTAATTTCAAATCTAGGTCCCACAATAACAATAATCCCCCTGATAGGCCACTAGTGTCCACACCCTAACAGTCCTAATCCTTCTCCAACCGCAGTTTTTGTTTACATGCCAACACTGAACATTTATTTTCATTAAAAAATGATTTTTGTTTTTTTTTTCTATGTAGGCTCTCTTTAGGGATTGAACTGTCAAGGGGAAGCTCTTTGTGGTATGTTTAGTGGGCCTCACTTATTACACCCTATTGCTACCCCAACCCTGATTGTTCAGAACCCAAAAATAAAAGAGAAAAAAAAAATTAAAATTCATCATTGTATACCAACAATTCCATTGTGTGAGTAGGGTGGTAAGGGAATGTGTGGGGGTCTCCTTGAAGGACAAAGGAAAGCCGAGAGCAAATGATAGGCTAAGGGCTAGGGTGAATAGGATGATAGAATGATGTTCTCGTTATGAGTTAGACATTTATTTATAGGGAGAGATCCTGATGTCCCAAAAGGAATGAGCTAAAAGTGTTTGATGAATCTTAGATTTATGGTCAGTTGTCAAGGAACACTGCTAAGGTTTCGCTACATGTCTTATGAGATATTTCAAGGACGAGGTTTCCTTTCGTCTGAGGATTTTCATAGTACACATGTGCTACTTCTTTTTGCGAGTCTCTTAAACTGGCGTGGCGCAAGTGACGTTAATACTTATCTCACGTGTCTTTTCTAATTTTACTGGGTGTTATGTCACGCATGTTATTAATAAAGCACGTGTTTCTTTACTTGTTTTTGTCATGCGATGAACTTGAGCTCATCGTAGACTTGTGAGGGCTTGGAACCTATTGCAGATTTGTGGTGGCTCGTGCTCATCGCACGTATGCAATGAATCTAGGTTCATTGCAGCCTTGCGATGACTTTAAGTCCATTGCAAACTTGTGCAGACTTGGTGCTTATCACAGATTTGTGCCGAGTCCTAAACTTGTCACGGGTACTTTTGTGGCAATGGTTTAGCATCCTCGGAGCTACTACCGTCGTAGTGATCAGCATGTACCTACACATTGTTACCAATATAAATCACCAAGCACAGTTTTCTTGCTTCAAGCCATCCTTTGATATTCACCATCCTTAATTTCTTCATCTGAATACTATATTACTATTATCTTGATCATGTCCAAAAAATAAGGTCATTGTGCATAAAAACTATGCACAAGCCATACAAGGATAAAGAGTATGGATATCGTAACAGAAAACGTAACAGATAGTAAGATATGACAGTATGTATTTCCCATCTTTGTATGAAGGGTAATGCGTGTTTCTCATCTCGCCAATTAGCTTTCCATCATTGATCCAATAGAGTAGTGTTCATTGGCCAGCGGTTATCAGGCCAAAAAAGAATACTCTTAATGGCATAATCAGTTGATACTGTATATAACAAAGCCCAAGTCTTCCGTCCAGCAACTTTCAGTTAGCTGATGATCTTTGGATCAGGTACACTGCTTTGCATGGAAATCCTCCACAGACAGTAAACCCACGATAAGGGTTTTGATCCTTTCTGCACCTGGTCCAGGCCTAAGTGTGGTTATATTTGTTAGGGTGTAATGTGGGGTAGTTGCATTTGTGTTTCCTTCAATATTGTCAAACCACCCACCAGGCACGAATCCATCAGCAGCACGCCCCAAGAGCTCAGCATCGATCTTGTCAAGCACTGTTTCGTTCCTGCCAAATTTCCTTGCAAATGGTGCATTGCTATCAACCATCCTCTGGTAGTCATCAACAATGAGGAAATGGGGATGTTGTTTAGGAGGATTATCCCAAGATATGAAGTGGAGATCATGGTTTACTGTGGTGTTTCGAAATTCCTCAGCATTGCAAATGACTGTGTGAAAGTAGCCTTCAGGAGAAGATAGGAAGTTGGCATAATACATAAGGACTGTCCTTGGAAGGTTGTCCCAGCCCCATAAACAGTACTCAATGAATGGACGAGAAAGCATCATCCAGGCAGAACCTGAAGAAAGCAAGTTTATAAACCCCTGTTAAACACTACAGGCAAGTTTGCTAAAAAGAATATTGTAGTTTAGTTTGAGTTTGCCAACAATATCATATTATCATCCTTTCTTTCCAAAGGACCTCAAGTATCAATAACACTATAGTTGACTGGTAACAAAAAGCATATAAAAATTGATAATAAATGCAGAAGCAGAATGAATTTTCAGTTAGATTGCTGTTTGGCCAAAGTTTGGCTCTTGAAAAAAAATCATTATTGGATGCATTTTAAGCCTGCGGCCTGCCATCATTATGTAAAGTGACTAAATCATTCATCGATTACTATTTCTGACAAGTAAAGGGTGATGTTGGTTTATAAACTCAACTAAGAGTTTATGGAATGTCCGCGATGACCTCAGCCTTTAGCTTGCGTTCTTTCTGTGGTTGGGGACTACGCATATGTTAGTCATGCTCGAGGTCAATAATTATTAAAAGCTTATATTTGAGCCAAAACCTGGATGGATTCAGCAGATTCAATAAAAATATGAAATTGAAAACAGGGCATATGAGTTGATTGTGACTCAGGTCAATAATCTTTAATACACTGAAGCTAATCCATGGGCTGGCACCCAGTCAAATCTGAAACAGCAGCAAACCTTTATACATCAATTTAACCATACATTGAATAAGAGGAACCAAAAGTTCTGGTTGTCACATTAACTGTGGGGGTAATCAAGAAACTCAGAAAGTAAAGCATAGCTAAGAATTACATCAAGATTATTGGCAGACTCTCATAACAATATTCTTTAGATGGATAAGAGGCTGGAGTAGAACATTACTAATTTACTGAATTTATTGATTATTGGAAAGCTTTTATACATCAAAAAGTGCTTGCCACACCATTAAAATATGAGATACAACATATTGCTAACAAAAGTGCTAGCCACAGGAGGAATAAATCAATTCCCTTTGATTGGTTCATGGGTTTGACTTTGCTTTGGTGTAAAATGGAAAGTAAAATGATGTGGTCCCCACCTTATATGAAGAATTAAAGTAGGAGAAAGATTTGTTTGGGAGGATTAATAATAGGAAGCAAAATGATGTGGTCACCTTTATGAGGGGAGAGGTAGGAGGAAGATAGTGTAAGTTTTGCATTAAATTTTCAGGTGCAAAAATTGCACTCAGTGAGTGCAAATTTTGTATTACCCGGTTCACATTTGCACTGCAAACAAATAGAGGCTGTTACTGTGGTTTATGCATACAGAGATTTTATAGAACAAGCTTACCTACTACTGTTTACGGCCTTAGAATTATTGAAAGCGTGAACTTTCACCCAGGATGAGACAATTACTGTCCTGATGCTATTTTCTGGAAGGGGTAAAGCATTTATGAGATGTTAAATGAATGTAGGCACACCTCCACCTTTATCAGGATGATCATAAATCTCCACCCTCATTTGCAAAGAAAATTAAGATCACGGATACAAACTATCTACTTCGTGAATAAATATTATCATCCTTTGTGACAGCAGAAATACAAAATCAGATTGGTATGGATTTTGCCCCCAGAGTAAGAAGCTCTTATTTTTGTAGCATTGTAGAACAATCAGTTCATCTCTAGTCCTACTGAACAAGAGATTTTGGGTTCCTGATTATAACAATTACTGGAGCTAGTAAAGAAGCATACGCAATTGATCAAAATTCTAATGGAATAAAAATGAGAAAAAAATATCACCTGTAAACAGTCTAAAAGCTGTAGGTACACTCCTTTTTTCTGTAACCCAGAAGACATCAGATTTTTGCAAGCTATAAAGCCCAGGATCTATGATCACGGGCTTGGCTCTCTGATACCTACAAGTTGATCAACACAGCATCTCAGAATGCAGAGTTCTAGTTTTATGGTTTAACAGAAAAATTCGTGCGCTTTCTTCCAAAAAGGGGATGACAGGGAAACTGAGGAGAGACATACTCTTTCCATCCAATGTCGCCTGTGTGCTCAATGAAATTAAGGTGCCTCGGAATGGTAGATAGAGTATGAAGTAGATCTGTTTCAGCCAAAAAGAGAAGGGAAAAAGGGTTGTTGGTCAGATACACGCTATTAACAACTGAAAAGGTTTTAGAAAGTTGAGAAGAGGGCAAAATTTGATGTTTATTTCTCTTCAGGGGGGACTTAAAAGTGAAGAAAAAGCAGACCAAAAGCATCAAAGAAATGGGTAATAAAAAAATTCGATTCAATTGTCGCTGAAGAAATGGATACTTCAGTCTTCAGCCAAAATTAGTAATATTGAAAAACGTTAACAAAACCGGTAAAGGGAAGCAACCAAGAAAAATCAGTTCCCAATTCTCATCAGGAGGCCCAAAAAAAGCCAAAAACACCATTCCAAAAACAAACAGATAAAGAAAAACCGAAACCCATTTCTTAAATGAGAAAGGACCATGTGCAGACAATCAGAAAACGACTACCCCAGTTCTCATCAAAAAACAGGAAAGACCCAGAAATCCAAATCACGAATTAAGAACAATTTCAATTTAAATTCTTTACCATCTTGAGTCACCAAAGGATAATCCGAGGCGCTGAGATTAATAAACCAATCCCACTCTCCTCCCTCCTTGAGCAAGATTGCCGCGGCGTGAAGTGTGTTAGTAACCATCGTCGGTCCTCTGTAAGTAACCAAATTTGCCCGCACCACGACACGGACATTGCCCACCTTGGCATAAACAGGGTCATCTCGAACAAAATTGGCCAGGTCCAGCCGCTCGGCCGCGGATGCTTCAAGGTCCAAGTGGACAACATACTGATTGAGAGGGTGATAAAGAGCTCTTAGAGTCCTCTTCAAACTCTCTCCATCGCCAATAGATCCAGAGATCAGGTAAGCGAGTCGGGGAATCGGGTTCGTAGACGTGGAAGGGATTCTCAGTTTCGATTCGACGAAAACCGGCTGTTGATTGTCGGCCGAGGTTCTATAAACCGGTAAGACACCAAAAGAGGAAGAGAGAGAAACCAAGATTAGAACAGATGACAACAAAAGAGAGAACACCAATGAGAGAAACCATTTCTTCTTCTTCTGTTGCTTATTAGTCTCCATGTAAAGTAAAGCAGCTGAGACTTCAGACAGAACCGATGCGTTCAAGTCATTCCTCTAATATTTCGCCCAGATACAGAGAAATACGTAGGAAGTCGCTACTTTAACCGGTCGACATGGATGTACAGGCGACGTAAAGAGAGATTTCAGAGAGTACAGAATTCGGAAAGGGAGATGAGGATACTGAGGTTGTCTGTGTATGTACAGTGGGTGAAGGTGCCCACCAATGCGGGCCGAGGAGGTCTGATAATGGTGGGCTTAGTGAAAGAGCCGAACTGAACACTGAGACACCCAAGAACTTTACTGGGTACGGCAATGGTGAATTGGGTGGATTGTCTGTAAAGAGAGAGAGAGAGAGAGGTTATCCGTAATTCAGCATACTGTAAAGGTTGTACCAACATTTGGATGCGTGGAGAATGTTAATTGGACAACAAGAAAAGTGTGAGCTGCTTTATGTGACGTAAGCATGTAGTGGCGGAGTTGCATTATTATAGTTCGGTGAGGAGCAATTTCAGTGTGGTGGCGTGATGCTGATCATTAAAAGTCTGTGTGGGTGTGATAAGGGTTAAGGATTTAATGGAATACGACTCTTGTGAGATTTTCATTGTCAACCGCTAGATTGTAATAATTGCATCAATGGTCAATGGGTCCCTTCTGTGGTCTCGACATGAAGCGGGCCCCAGTTACAGAAAAAAAAACTTAAAAGGAGAATCATTGTGACCAAAGTAATGAGGCACCGCATTATGCGGATTGACGATTGATTTATGCTGCTCATCCATAATGATGCATGCAAAATGCAGTGAGGATTTGTTTTCTGGGTCGGGTTAATCGATTGGGAACAGCGACAACCGCTCCCGACCCAATTATTAACACAAACCACGAAAACCAGAATCGGTATAATCGGCTCGACCATACCGGGTAGATCCGATCCATTGATCGCTCTATCAATTGGTTGACTTTTCAATATTTCAGTGAATCGGATCTACCCGATTCACTGAAATATTGTATTTGGTTCATGCTCGATCTTGGTAATGCTTAGTGGTTTGACTCTTCAATTGGTTTTCCTGAATGGCTTCTTTTGCGAATTGTGCAAATGTTGGTTTTTGTTAATGTTTAATAAGAATGTATTTATGTAGATATTGAATTATTAATGTGTTGTTGTAGGTATATAGTGGTCGCTCAGATCATCAGAGTACAGAAGGTGTCGAATTAATATCACACGAATGCTTGGGATGAATTTACAATTTATTCGATGTCTGTAATGAATTATTCATCGATCACATAATTGCGATAAACTCGTACTCAAAATGGGTTGCAATGAGGTTTGGCCATAATAAACCTGTGATAAGCTTTAAACACCCGCGGAATTGCGATGAGTTTTATACATTCACGATCCCACGATGAGCTTTGCACGTGCGGATCTGCGATGGTCTTCAAAGTTATTGCAAAACCATGACAAGCGTAGGACTACTACAGACCAGGGATAAATGCTAGAAACACATGTGTCTTTAATTTACGTGCATGACGGGACGCTCTATGGGCCTAATAAGGGTGTGCCAGCTAAATAATGACGCCATTTGTGCTACGTCAGTTAAATGGGTCACGAAAGGAAGTAGTACACGCGAATTATGAGAATCCTCGGATGAAAGGAAAGTTCATCCCGGGGATATCTCGTAAGACATGTGATGAAACCCTAGCAGTGTTCCCTGACAACTTACAATGAATCCAATATTCCCTTTCCTAGTGGGAATCAAATGTTTTTGGATCTTTCCTTTTGGGACCTCGAGATCTCTCCCTATAAATAGGGGACTACCTCGTAATGAAATCTTCCTATCATTCACATTTGCCCTAACCTTTAGCTTACCTCCTGCATCTGGTCTTCCTTCGTCCTTCACGGAGACCCCGTACGTAGCCTCTCCACCACACTTACAATTATATTAAATACCAAAAAAATGTCAAAAAGGTATATTTCAATATTACCATTCGTACCAATTATGACTAAAATTTGTTTGACTAGAAAATAAATTTATAAATGCAAAATTAAACCAACTTTATAATTGCATGGACCAAATTGCAACCTACGTATTTGTATTTATACTCTTTCTAAATAGAGCCTAATATACCAACTCTGGTGGTGCTATTGGTACCATCCTAGGTGGGGAGATTTAAGGGCTACTCCACGTGCTTAGCCCCTAAAAAAAGCATTTCCTGAACCAATACTCAAATAAATGAAACGATTTTCGTGTGCTCTCTTGCAAATAGGGGGTGCAAGTTCGGCCGGCTCAAGTAGGAATTTTGTTAAAATTTGAACGGATCCACCCCAAAAGCCCAGGTCCAATGTAATGTAAAATCTTCAAATTGAGTATTCAATTTGCTGCTCCCCTACTTAGGAAGCCTTTCTTCCATTTTAGTGTATTAAAATAATTGGAAAAATTTCTTGGTACAGTAAAATAATTGAATATAGGCAGATCTAAATTCGGTTCATTTATATTCGAAACTGAATCAGATTTATATTAAATTCAAATCAAATTCAGATTGTAATCGGATATTGAATAGTATAAATAAATTAAATAAAAATATTATATATTATTAATAATATGAATTAAAATGACTTTAATATTTTTTAAGAACAAAGTTAATTATATGAAATTTAGACCATTCAAATCAACTTTATTAGTAGATATAATATAAATTTTAAGTATATAAAGATTGAATCGAATCGGTGGGAGATGACAGCTGGTTCAGGTGGCAAAGTCAGAAAATATAATTCCAACCAACCTGGGATCGAATCCATCCTCTCCCTTCAATCATATTTCCCAATTTTCCCTGATTCCCTCAATCCCAAAGACCCAAACCCAACCCAAAGACTAGGGGAAAGTGGGAAAAAGGTAAAAAGCCTGCGGAGAAGAAATTAAGTATAAAGTATACGAGTTGAAAATGTGTCAATTCCATCTCCGTCCTATCTTTAAGAAGTTAGCGAAAAAGACGATTTATCTTCTTGTTCATTATTGGGTTGTACAGTGGCAAGCACATGTGCATTGGATTCTCTAGCCATCAATCCATCATCCACTGGTAGGGCCTAATCCATGGACTCACGGTTCTATAAATTAGGGTTTCACATGGGCTTAAGCTGGGCCACCAATAAAAACTCTCAACCCGGCTAGCCATAAGGTAAAACTCGGTCCTCGCGACCTTGGCGCGTTGCAGAGCCGGGCACAAGTACGAAGGGTCGTACCCGAAAGGCTGGCGAATGAGGCTCAGCCGCTCCCCGCTCACTCGCTCAGGTCTCCGTCTGATTGATCCCTTGTGCCCATGCAGCTGCCCCATCCATAGGCGACATGGACAACCAAGAGAATTACAGAATAGGAATAGGAGAGATGTAGGCTGGCCTAGTTTATTGCCTGTATTGTTTAGTGGGGACTGAGCAGCGAGACAGAACAGGACGCACCGTCTCCAACACATTGGATTGGGTCGGGAGTTCTGTTAAATTTTGGGAAAATTCTTGATAGTTATCCTGTACTTTGGCTCGAATGCCAATTTAGTATTCGAATTTTAAAACGTGACAATCTAGTATCTGAACCTTTTATTTTGCAACAATTTATTATTCGGCGTTAATACACCATGAATTAGAAGATAAAAAGATCTAAATACCCCTTAGCTAATTTGAGTAATGCATATAACTTAACCTCTCAGAACCAAAAAAATGGAAGAATGCTCCCCACTCTCTCCTTTGAGCCCTAACCCGAAACACCCCACCGGCCACTCACCACACACCAGTGTCCATGATTGTGGAACAATGACAATAACTCTAATCGAAGAATCCTTTGCAACTCACACTGACGGGTTATCAGTCCTCGAAACAAAGCAAATACGACCAATAACTGGCATAGTGGAGATTGAAGATCTAACAAGTTCATCTGATGGAATGTCTGATCTGGAAGTTACATCAGAAGAGTTGAATGATGAAGAACTTCAATATACATCTGGTTCTATCCCCAAATTGCAATTCAGGAAAGATACATCTAAGGCTCGCTGGAATGCAGAAATGGGAATGGCTAAGGTTATTGAAAAGAATGGCAAAATGTGGATAACAATAGGAATAGTTCGAAGAGGAAAGCTCTACTGCACAATTGAAGAAACCTTGTTTTTGGCTGAAATAGGGGCACATCATCTGTTGGATGTTGGTGATACAACACTTTTCTTGAAAGATTTATATGAGAAGGTTGCAGAAGGAAAGAGTGGGTGTTGTTGGGAGACTTTTAAGGTTTACAGACACCTAAAGTCCCTTGGGTACATTGTTGGTCGGTATGGTGTCCCTTGGACCATGAAGAGTAATAATGGTTGTAATTCTGCTCTTCAAGGAACAACAAAAACCAGTGCAGTTTCAGACAGTGAATTGGTGAACAATTTTTCCTTCATCAACCAACTTAAAAATTTGCAATTAGTGATTTGAGACTGTATTTTGAAGTTTACCTTCCTAACAGCAAGTTCAGAAAATCACCTCCTGGTGATCCAAGTTTTATGCTCTATGTAACTAGGGCTTATCCACCATCAAGAAATGAGATTGAAGAATTAGAGAGGAAGTGCAATGGAATTCCCTTAAAATTCTCTCATGTAGATCATGGGTGAGTCCGTTTCTTTTCCATCAACAGAGTGGAGCTTCCACTCCTACCTTGACACTTTCAAGTAGGTGAATTGGCAAGAAATGGGTAGGGAGAGTTTGTTTGGATTGGGGATGCCTAGATCTAGCTATAATTTATAAAAGCTTCATGTTTTTTATTTTCTTGTGGGCTTCAGTGAAGGAAGCTGTTGTAGTTAGACTTACAGGCCAGCTGCTTCTGTTTTTGAGCGGTTTGGTGACCTTCTTAGTTAATGAAAAATTTTCTATTGCTTTAAAAAAATGTCCATTTCTATACAATTAAAAAATAGTCCTAGTCCTCACAAGCAGAGTAATGGAGGGTGATGCTGCTCAATCCGATGTGGAGCATGAACTGAGGAGAGCAAATAGATAGTCCTTGCCAATAAGGCGGTGCCGAGCTACAAGGACGAAGCCGCGCTTCAAGACCTGTGATCAAGAAAGGAGAAGTCAGAGGCCCGAGGAGTTATCCCCGGGTAGGTACTCCGACGCTCAAGTTGGTAAGAGGTGATGGATGGCTGGGCCGAGCTATAGGGATGCTGGTTCGAGCAGAATAGCAGTATGAGTGTCAGAAGTTGGAATCCCTTACCTTGAGCATGGAGTATCTCTTTATAGCTGAAGGTCCGTGTCCTGGTCGGATCAGGCTTCCGGGGTTGTCGGGATGAGGTTGGCCGCTGAAGTATTTGGGATAGAATCCT